GGTAGGTACCTGCACAAAACTGCCTGGCTTGTTCTAATCTTGTAATGTATTTATTATATATTATTACCATTAAAAGCTGTTTTGAGCTCTTCAGTCAAAAAGCAGACGATAAATCTATTCTTAAAATATTTCATTGGCCTAGTTTTTTTTTAAAGAATCTTTTTTTATAAATAAACATAGATATCATCTTATCTACCAAAGGATCTACATACATATCTCATTAAGTCAAAACTGCTTCTATCATTTAACAGCTGGATTTTATCTTCCAAAATGAGAAACCCACAATCATTTCCAGTTTCGGAGGGGGGTGGATCCTTGATATAACTAAACCAGTGGAGGGTTCCTAATGGTTCAGACTGGTTCTGGCAAACTGGTAATAACTTGGTGGCCTGGGTCACTGGAACCAGCAGCGACCCAGGCCTGCCACGCCCCCATACCGGTTCTCCCGGCAGCACTGTAGGCACTGCCATCTTGTTTTTTGCTTCTGTGCATGCGCAGAGCAATTTTTGTTGCACTGTGCATGTGTGCATGCGCAGTGCGGCCCTAAGCAAACTGGCAGTAGCAGCTGCCGGAACCCACCTCTGAACCAAACACCACTTCTGCCCCGGAAGGACTCACTTTCACGACTGCACAGTTTCCAACAAACCAATCAGGAGTTTAATCTGGAGCCGGTTGCTACACTTGCCCCTCCAAATTTCCTTCCCACTCAAAATTTAACTTTCTTTGAAAGCATATTTTTGCATTACCTGAGTGCCCATACATTGTGGCTACACATTCGCCTGAATAGAAATCAAAGATAGAAAGGTTCTTGTCAGAACAACTGGTTGCAATGTACAGACCAGAAGGATCCATTTGTACCTGAACAAGTAACAGAGAAGGGGGGGAGGGAGGAGAACATATGTGGTTATCTGTGGTACAATTTCTAGGCTTTAGAAAATTGGATATGCGTAGTTTTGGTAAGCATTAAGAACTAATGCTCTATGCTTAATGACTCTTTCATACTTCATGCCAGCTACACCCATCCTGGGAAAATACAACTAGCTCAAAACATCTGAGAAAATCAGGTTGGGAAAGGCTGTTTTATGTTGCAATCTATATTTGCAACCACACCAGTTTTTCCCACTATGATTATGCAAAACCCAGATTGGATTGAAGCCAGAAAATCGAGCCGGCTTGGCTCTATGTGTTTATTTTTATTAGAGGGTAAATCAATCAATGTCTATATTTGCAACTCATCAAAAGTCTGCATAAGTCATTATTCAGGTTGCAGACAAAATCATGGTTCCTTCAACTCATCTTTGTAAGTAATGCATTAGGTGAAAACTTGGCCCTTATGTATGAATAAGAGCACAATCAAACACATCTGCTATTATAACGTTATATAAAAAATCAGCACAAACATAACAAAATATGTATCATAAATGCATTTTAGTATCTGAAATGTTAAGTTTGTCTTTATATTAAGTATCTATGGAGCTTCTCAGTCATCCAGGTCCTGGTTGTCCCAAAGGTGCTTTTTCAAGAGGCAACTGGACTTTCTGGTTTTTCTTTCAAGATGTTTCACTTCTCATCCAAAAATCTTCTTCAGCTCTGACTGGATGAGGGAGAATGGAAGGATTTAAAGGAGTATAAAGGAAGTATAATAAATCCTTCCATCCCCCACCATCCAGTGAGAGCTGAAGAAACTTCTTGGATGAGAAGCGAAACCAAAACATTTCCTCTTGAAAAAAGTACCTTTGGGATTACTTATATCACTGCTATGTGTGTTGATTAGAAAATGAAAGACTCATCCAAAGATACTCAGCACTGATTAAGGTATAAGCTGATTATTCCTTGATCTCTTGTGAATATACTTTAGGAACACACTGCTGCCAGAAAGGTTTTTTTTTTTCCTGGAAGAAATTCTGGGGATCCTCAAAGTAGAAAACATGTTCAGGTGCTGAAAAAAAACTGTCACGTACAGTACGCAGGAACCTCCCCAGTTCTTGGAGGGAAGAGTTGTAAGGCTCCATATACAATGAGAAGAATGCATATTCATTAAATATTGCTTATGCAGCACAATCAGATTTTTATGTATATGGGTCAGTTGAGAACAACAAGGAAATTAGACACAGCTGCTGCTTTTTTTTTAAAAAAAGGCATAGATTAAAGAACTTCTCTAAGCCCTTATTCATATGCTCTTCCATTGTTAGTGCAGAAGGATTTGAAATGGGAAATTTATGAAGCTCAGTTATTTTCTGGCAGACTAGATATCAGTGTTGCTCTCTTTTGTCTTCATGAGCTTTTCTTTAATTTGCAGCTGGAATGCTTTGCCAATCTATGAACCATTTTGTAGCTTACACAAATCCATCAGTAAATGCCATACTGCAAAGTGTTAAGTATTCCATATGAGACAGAACTAACTTAAAATCTTACTCTCCAATTAGAATATTAAGCTGGAAAAGCATAGCAGGCATAAAATAAGGAGATGAGGTATAGAGAATAAGATGAAATGCAACACAATTTGTTGTGGCGGAGTTAACAAAGGCCTTACTTTAATTAGAGTGCCATCTTCACTTTGAGATCCCTTGTATAGTTTCTTTTGCTTCCCACTGCTGATGTTGAAAATCCTAAGAAGAAATTCAGACATACAGTAAAAAGAAACTTCTCTACTCTTAAATCAAAGCAAAGTTATTTATTTGTGTTTTACAGCAACCAGCAAAATGTCTCTGGAAAATTATCAAAATGAGTCCAATATTGTTCATACACCTGAATGGTGAATGTATAAATTCCATATAGTTGCTCATAGCTAAAAGAAAAACCTTTATCTTATTGAATTTGTATATCTCTTAAAAAAAATACCTCTGTCTCTGTACTACAACAACTCATGCCTACCTAGGCAAAACAGTGCATCATAGGACAAAACATTTTGAACCAATGTACCTCAAATGTATAAAGCACTTTCAGCTATTGTAAAACATCACATACACACCTTGCGGTCACATAATTGCATTTCAGGTGCTTTGCAACTTGTTCGCACTTTGACCAATTGCCAAGTGTTCCATGATCATGTAACCTCCAGTTGCAATCTTCTCTGCTGGCTTCCCCAGAAAGTCAATAGGGAAGCCAGCAGTGAAGGTTGCAAGCTGTGCCATCTGCACATAAGACTCCTTCTCATCCTTGAGGGTTGCCTTAAGGAGTTGCCTGTCAAGGATAGTTGAACTCTTTCTCCAGGCTACAGAAACAGAGCTAAGATCTTAAGGGTCTGATCTCCACATTTGCCTGGCGGAGGACTTTTCTTCTGCACATAGAGGGGAGCTGAATACCTTCCCATGGCTGAAGAAATGGAACTCAGATCCTGAAGATCTCTGCTCCATTTCTGCAGTCCTTTGGAGGAGTTCCCCTCCACATATGGCAGTCAGCTCTTTTGTTCCATCTGCTTAATAACCTGGACATTGCTTAACAACCACAACAACGAGTATTGGGATTTCCGTTATTAAGCAAAGTAATCACATAGGTATTTAACTTAATGACCACTCAACAACTGAGATTCCAGTTTCAATTGTGGTGGTAAGTAAAGAACTACTTGTACATTGGATCCTAGATATACCTATTCAGAGGTAGGTTCTGTGGATTTGGTGAGGCTTGCTCCGAATCTTGAGGATAAGACAATATTAAAATGTTCAAAGCCATAACTTCTTTGGGGAAAAAGCTAATTAAACATGTAAAAGTCTCTTTAAAAAAATAAGATGAAAATTACATGTCTCCTCAGAAAAACAAAGCAAGATTGTTTTAGGTTTAATGGAGGGAACAAGTGTGTCAAATTGACATGTCCTAGCTAGGTCAAAAATTAATTTCCTTCTAAAAATATGCTTTTAAAAATATAAGCTTTCCAGATGCATTTGAACTAGGAAGCTCCTATTAGAATTTATGAACTGACCTGATGTTACGGTCTTGGCATCCAATAGCAGCATATTTCCAGTTGGGGTCCACATCCATATCATAAAGAGTAGTCTTCCTAACAACATGATGTGTACGAGTAAAGTGGACCCCATCATTTGTCTAAACACAAGAAATACAATAGCAATGACACCTCCACAATATGTAATCAAATAGTATCAGTACACGTGTACAATATTTTCCCCCTGGAGGAATTTTTTGTGTGTCCCACCAGGAAATGTAAGAAAGAAAAGACTACAATGCAGTGGTGAAATTCATTTTTTTTTTACTACCAGTTCTGTGGACGTGGCCTGGTGGATGTGGCAGGGGAAGGATACAGCAAAATCTCTATTCCCACCCCACTCCAGGGGAAGGATACTGCAAAATCCCCATTCCCACTCCATTCTGGGTCCAGTCAGAGGTAGTATTTGCCAGTTCTCCAAACTACTAAAAATTTCCGCTACCGGTTCTCCAGAACCTGTCAGAACCTGCTGAATTTCACCCCTACTACAATGAGACAATGATCAAACTACTCTATGATCAGTATTACTGTACAGTTCCTAACATTTGGTTTTTTTAAAATGTATTTGCTGAAAGAAAGCCATGAGGCCTAGAATATTGTCCAAAGCTTTTGCTTTCATTAGAATTCACAACACATGTTACATAAAGAGTGACTACTCCAAAAGAATTACCTTCTGTGCAGTGCGGAAATAGATGCTCTTATCAGCACCACAGCTGATCATTCTCACCTTCCCATCGTTGGCTGAAGGAAAAGAAAAATATCAATGCCCATGAACATGAAGATGGGCAATCAAATGCCTTTTAATTTATTCTATATGCTCTTACTCATGCCTTACAGTTTCTCTAGCCTGACTGGGGAATTCTGGGAGATGAAGTCCACAAGTCTAAAGTTGCCAAGTTTAGAGACCCTGATCGAGATAAGCCATTTATCACTCCTACTATGTTGTAGGAAAAAAAGTAGGAATTTTTTTACTTTAGAAGCATTCAGCCCACCTAAAGAGCCTCTCTCATTTTTTTCTGACATTGCAATTAAGTTTGGGGAAATCTGTCCAGGACAGCCAGAGAAAAGTCATCTCTTCCTCTTCAGTCCTACCACTTCCAGCCTGTGCAGATGGTAAGGGAAGAGCTGATGCTACCTGTACCAAACAATTGGGTTACAAACTATAATTAAGGTTGGACAAAGAATCTGTCTCCAAAGATAACAAACAACTGTCCTTGTCATATTAATGAATCAAGTTCCATCCAACTTGAGAATCATTAGTGGCCACAAGAAGGCTCAGCAATCAAGGGCCATTCTATATGATAATAATTAACTTTATTAACCATATGTTCATTTTATCACTGGCCTCAATGGATCACTTTAAACACCTTGAGGACTACAATTTCAGCAAACCATTGCCACATTTTTCTCTGGATGAGAGAAGAATTGACTATTTAGAATAGTTAGAACACCTTACTATTCAGGAAATATGACACTACTGTATGTGGACAATTGGATAATCATACAGTAAATCACTATGGCATCTACTTTAACTTCATGCTTGAAGGCAGGAATATCTTTCCATTACTATTACATCACAAATTAACCTTTAGAATCTGAATCACAAATTAGAGGATCAGTATGTTACAAACTGCTTTATAAACAATTCTATAACACAAAGCAAAATAACCAAACTCTGTGTCGCAATTTAGGGCAAAGCAATTTGACAGAAAATAAATTGATTGCTGACTACAGTAAACCAACAAACATTTAGTATGCAAGCTCTCCACCAGAGATGGAGAGCATGTTGCTGATATCATTAATGAACTATAACATTCCACATCCTTATCGATGATTGGAGCTGTGTGAACTTTTAGTTCAGCAGCATCTGGAAAACTGCATATTGTATAGCTCTGCTCTATGTTTACAAGTTGTTTTCTCACTATTGGGATACCAACACAATACAATACAATACAATACAATAACAGAGTTGGAAGGGACCTTGGAGGTCTTCTAATCCAACCCCCTGCCTGGGCAGGAAACCCTATACCATTTCAGACAAATGGCTATCCAACATCTTCTTAAAGATTTCCCGTGTTGGGGCATTCGCAACTTCTGGAGGCAAGCTGTTCCACTGATTAATTGTTCTAACTGTCAGGAAATTTCTCCTCAGTTTTAAGTTGCTTCTCTCCTTGATTAGTTTC